GTTACTCAAATTAAATAAAAGTAAATAATAATTGTTTAGTAAATAAGCTAGAATAAGCATAAAATCTCAAGATTTTTAACAATAAAGTAAAATTCAATTTGACTTAAGACAAGGTAACGTCTTTTATTTTGAATCGTGTTCTATGCGGCATTTAGATGCTGAAAGAACATTAAGCCGCTGAAAAGCTCAGTAATACTTTCCACTATACTGTTAGGTTGTTTCCTTCCACTAGTCGATAGGCGATCCTTGAATCCTTTCATAACACTGGTCATGGATGTTGTTTAGTCTTAGTTTTTTTCTCTGTCAGTTGACCATCATCGATATCCGAGAGTAAGACACGATCCGAATCTACTAGTTCCGCCAAGTTCAGAAGCGTCAAGTCGAGGTCATCAATGTCCTCATTTTCATGAGGTTGGATGCTGATTTCGCACCTTGTAGCCTCTGCTTCAATACTTCTTACCATCACCCTTGGTATTTGCACCCCCGGAATACCGGAGATGATTCATTATCTTCAGTTGCAACGGTATCCTTACCCGTCCTGTTCTTGTGGAGGTAAATAGGGATGGGGCTGAACCTTTTGACTTTTTTTAAAGAATAAAAACCCTATACCAGGGCTGGTCATCCTGGTATAGGGTTGTTGAGCTCAAGGCTTACAACCTTGTCTCGGAAAACTTTTTGTAATGAAACCCACGAAAATACCTCGGTTAGTATTGCAAACCCAGTTAACGACAAACGTAGGAAAAAAAATATCACGACTTACGATATACGATTGGAATATGGAATATAATGAGCTCATATAGTGAGCTTATGTTGAAAAATCTATAACAAGCAAAAAAATACAAAATATATATACTGGCTGCACAAGAAACATGTCATAAACTCAGAAACAAATCAAGCAAACACATATTTTTATTGTATCACAGAAAATTAACCATTCTATTATTGAATTTAGGGCTGTTAGCGAACGTCTATGTCATAAGAGTCAAACCAAAATTTTTTTAATGTAAGCATTATTTGCGTGCATGCACCTACCAAAGAAAACTATAAGAACGAATATTAAAATATGGCAATATTGTTTTGGTAATTTTTGACATTTGAATAATATTGTTTGTGTTCAACATTATTTGTAAACAATTTATATATTGAAAACGTAAAACAACTTAGTCCAGTTTGGCAGCCAAAGTTAAAAAGTGCACAGAAATCTAAACCTGCCTTCAGTTGGGTAGTTCATTTCACTGGGCTACCGATAAATGATGTAGTACAAAAAGCTGAATATGAAAAAGATGTTTTTGACTTTGTCAAAGAAGCCAATCTTGGAAGTTTTGCAATGTGGTCACGTTGATTGTGTACGTCCTTACTATCATTTAATGCAAATAGTAAACTTATTGATACAAATGGTTAAACTTGTTAGGATGTTACTGACAATAATGATATTCGTATGCTGTTGTCTTCATAACAAATACAACTTTTGACTTACCTTTTAATTCAGATCTTGTAGTTTTTAGTAATTCATTAATAAATAAAATAAAATTTCATGTATTCAACACAATTATTTTCTGAATTTTTTATACATAAACTTGGCTAGATTTAAATTCACTTTGTGACAGTAACTCTTAATGATGGTGGCCTAAATAACTTCAAAATAAAGGTATCATTAGGACTGATGGCCTGTAAAATATTGAGTTTTTGCCCTAACGATTTTATTTGTTTGGAAAATATTGGTACTACTCTTTGCACCAGTTGCTTTTAATAATTTGTTCGTAAAATGGATTGAATATTTTTTTGATTACAGCATGTCTTGAGTCGAGAATCATTATTCTAATTTATGCATCTTCTGCAAACATTTTGTTGTTGAAGCCGAGATAAGTCCTTTGATTTATTGGAACCTACTTGATCCTTTTTTGTTGCGAACGGCAGAACTTCCTCTAAAGTTTTTAGTTGCAATGGTTAGTTGATGCTGAGTAAGTCCGTGACAAAGTCAATCTTGCCACAAATTCTTACTGTGGTATGATGTGAAAATTTTTCATTTTACAAATTAGCAAATACAAAAAATGTAAATGTTATTCGAAATTTTTAATTTTAAATTGTCAAGATCCAAGAAATGATACTTCAATTACAAATTAATAATCATTTTATGATTATTGGTGTATAAATATATTGTACGCTACTTGGTGCTAACCCAGATCCTTAATCTGTGTTAGCTTGGTAGCCAATTTTTATGTGTAAAGTAGTTTGAGCACTTGTAACCCAAACTACTTGTATTTTTTAAGTTGATTAGTTTGAGCACTTGAAACCCAAACTAATCGATGCGAGAAAGTAAGAAAGTTATAATTGATTTTTCTTTTCCTTCTGAACTTTATTAAAATTATTTCTTATATTTATACAAAATTATTTTATTAACAAGCTATTAAATTGTGCATTAATTGACAATAAATATTAATGCATAATTCACAAATAAATAAATTTGCCTACGCTGTGCTGACATAATTATAGGCCATTGACCAACAAGAAAAGCTGATAATGCAAAATTGCACTTTTCGTTGGTCAATGACTGGTCGCAGTGTTGGCCCAAATAATATGTAAACACATGTAACCAAATAACAAAAAAAAACAAAAATATTAAATAATATTAATTAAATGCAAACATAAACATATATAACAGTTTTAAAATTTATTTCCATAATTTCTTAATAGAAATGTTCTTCTCTGAATTCTTCTGCATAACTTTAGCGTCAACCATTTCAAAATTTTTTTGAGTTGGTTGACATGCACACGACGCTCACGAAATGCATACATACTAGATAGAAGCAAACTCTTTTAACTTCAGCACTAGCAGCTCCTGGTATAAGTTCAGCTATTTTACGCAAATTAATGCAGCGGGTCGAGTTCATTTTACGCAAATGAATTTTGAGAATATCTAAACGAGTTTCTACATTTGGTGAGGGAAATTCAATTTTTTGTATGGTCGAATTATCTTTTTCACAACAGCTTTAAATATTTCGAAAGAATATCCACTTTTACATTAAAATCAATTGAAATCAAAATGCATTCACATCTGATACACATCTGATAACTAAGGTCGTGTGCGAGTTAGGCTAAGTTGCGTTCTAAATGAGGGAAATACTAAGTTGTGCCGATAATGTAATGATGTGTCGATACGTGTTGATAAATGACTTAATGTGTGCAGTGCAAAAAATCCCAAGGAAAATCTTATTTGGTTTAAAATCAACTTAGTAAAACCCTAAGTGAATTTTTTTCATTGATTTGGCAATATTGTTTTTGAAGTTTTCGCCGTTTGTATAATTTTGAATATGCATTGGAATACACATTGGCTGTCAATGTGTCAAATGTGTGCAGTACAAAAAATCCCATTTAGTTTAACATTAAATCAGAACAACGCGTACACGCCCTTACTCGAACTCGCACACGGCCAATAAAATTTTTGTTTATGTGATGTGATATTATTAACCGAATAAGGTATGCGCAATCTTTTTTTTATTGCTAAAAGGTTTTTTTTATTACATATTGACTATTATTCTGCAACCCCAAAAGAGAGTAATTTGATGTTAGTATCGTAAGATCACTTGTATTCAATATGTGTGCCAAAATGCTATAAAAATTAAATTTTCTTTAACAATTTCTCTTTGTTGTGCTCGAAGTGGACGTAGTTTTCGTTCTTTGCGTTGCATTACAATAGGCGTATTCGGTGGCTCGCAAGTACGGCAAAAAACAGCAAGTTGTTGGCCTATGCAGGCCTATACTGGCCGCAATGTATGCAAAACAACAACACTATTTTCTCTACCTCGGCCAGCATAGTTATGCTGGCCAACCACATCGGCCAGTAAAAAAAAAAATGTTACCAACGCAATAAGCGAACTATTGTGAACCTTCATTGAAAATTCCAACGAATAGTGCAATCAAATGTCAAAAATTGAGGAAATAAAAATTCAAACAGAATTCAAAAATTTGAAAAATCTTGAAAAGTAATGAAGAAATAATAAGAATGGAGAAATCGTAAGTATTAAGCACATTGAATTTTTTATTATGTTAGTTATTCCCAAGTAACATTTATTTTATTTCATTTAATTTGTAGTTTACATACGTAAAATTAATAAACAAACATAATTTTTGAAGTTTTTCTAAAAAATTTTTTATAGAAATACACGCAAACTATGGACCACAAAGGAAACGAATTGTTTTCTAGAGGCTACTTGACACGAAAGGAAGAGAATCTTCAGAGGAGGTTGTTGCGGCATTCATAACATTTAAAAAAATCCGTGAAACAACTTGCATCCCTCGGCCACTGCAAAACGTTGCTTCCTTCTCCCAACATCGACAGTACCTACAAAAATTTACTTATCTTAGTGTTTTATTTTTAAATTTCCAATATTCTTACCATTCCTTTTAATTCCGTGTTCATTTTAATTTTATAATATTTTTATAAATATATATTTGATTTATATGCACATATACAAGATCTGCTGTTTGTCAAAACAAAACATTTGACAGATTGCAACACTGATGCCAATGACTCGCGTGGCCAACATAGGCCAACATGCATTTTTTGCCGTACTTGCGAGCCACCGAAAAGGCCTAATGTTTAAAAGACAAGTGTTCTATTGGAGCATTCATGTCAAAAGAATAGAGGTAATGAAATTTAAGTAGGCAAAAATCGAGCAATGCTCAGTTATAAAAACACATTCACAATCATTGTGCGGTCGTGCAAGCAATAAAATTGATATTATTTTCCGTATTATATATGTTAAAAAATTTATTTAATGTATTCCACTAATATATAATATATATGAAATAAATGATGGTTATATTTTCTTAAGTGAAAGAGCTGTATACTTGGATTTTTTCTTAATACACGTAAAATAGAAATATGCTACAATGAATGCTCCTATTTTAGACCACCCTATATTTTGTTCAATTTCATTATTAAGAAAACAGTTTCTCTTTAACTGTGGCAACACAAAAAATAATTTTGGTTTGGTAGCACTATCTTCTATATTAATATAGTAGATTTGTGCTGTATAAGTGATTTGCTTGAAAATATTTTATTTAGTATAATAAGGGTAAGCAAGTTTTTAATTTAGTTACATAATATATACGCATGTAAGTTAGGTATTTTGAAAACGTTAAATTCAGTATATGAATAAAAATTCAATATTTTATAAAAGGGGCGTCTACCCAATTTTTATCAAAATGTACATACGTACATATATCTGCATGTATTTTTACAACATATATATGTTGTATATTAGATTAAAAAACATCACATCTGTATTAAGATATATGTCTAAAGAGAATTTCAGATATATCTGCAGACAATATGACGGACTCGAAATATTTTACTACTACCAAAAAAGGTGAAATATTTGAATTAAAATCGGAGCTTAATAATGACAAGAAAGAAAAAAAAAAAGAGGCTGTTAAAAAGGTACAATTAAAATGGTTATGAATTCAATTATTAGTTTTCTTTTTTGAAGTCTACCATTAATTCAACAAAATTTTTTTTTGAAATGATGTAACAATATGTTATAATATAGGTAATCGCTAGTATGACCGTAGGAAAAGATGTTTCAGCTCTTTTTCCTGATGTAGTTAATTGTATGCAAACAGACAATCTTGAGCTTAAAAAGTTGGTTTACTTATATTTGATGAATTATGCAAAATCACAGCCTGATATGGCTATTATGGCGGTAAATACATTTGTAAAGGTAAATAGAAGTAGTAAAGTTTATAACTATGTTAAAAATGAATTCTATTAAGGACTGCGAAGATTCTAATCCACTTATACGGGCATTAGCTGTTCGCACAATGGGATGCATACGTGTAGATAAAATAACGGAATATTTATGCGAACCTTTACGCAAGTGTTTAAAAGATGAAGATCCTTATGTTCGAAAAACTGCAGCAGTATGTGTCGCTAAATTGTACGACATATCATATTCAATGGTAAATATAAAGTTATATGCGCATCCAATCTCTAATTTGTGTTCCAGGTAGAAGATCAAGGATTCTTGGATCAATTGAAGGAGTTATTGTCTGATTCAAACCCAATGGTCGTTGCTAATGCTGTGGCTGCTCTTAGTGAAATTAATGAAGCAAGTCAGTCAGGTGAACCTCTTGTTGAAATGAATTCAGTAACGATTAATAAACTGCTTACTGCTCTCAATGAATGCACCGAGTGGGGTCAAGTGTTTATATTAGATTCATTAGCTAATTATAGTCCTAAGGATGAAAGAGAAGCACAATCGATTTGTGAACGTATTACACCACGTTTAGCACATGCAAATGCAGCAGTTGTTTTGAGCGCTGTTAAAGTTTTGATGAAATTATTGGAGATGCTTTCAAGTGATAGTGATTTTTGTGCTACTTTGACGAAAAAATTAGCTCCGCCTTTGGTTACACTTCTCTCTTCGGAACCTGAAGTTCAGTATGTAGCATTGCGGAATATAAACCTAATTGTGCAAAAACGTCCTGACATTTTAAAGCACGAAATGAAAGTATTTTTTGTAAAATATAATGACCCTATATATGTTAAACTTGAGAAATTGGATATTATGATACGTTTAGCTAATCAAAGTAATATTGCCCAGGTTCTCAGTGAGTTAAAAGAGTATGCTACAGAAGTAGATGTTGATTTTGTACGCAAAGCAGTAAGGGCAATAGGAAGATGTGCAATTAAGGTAATTAACTTAAAAAATAACTACATAATGCATATGTTTTGTTTATAGGTTGAACCATCGGCAGAACGTTGTGTTTCCACTTTACTTGATCTTATTCAAACAAAAGTTAACTATGTTGTACAAGAAGCTATTGTAGTAATAAAAGACATATTTCGCAAGTATCCAAATAAGTATGAGAGTATTATAAGTACCTTATGCGAAAATTTAGATACACTTGATGAACCAGAAGCGAGAGCATCAATGGTTTGGATAATTGGAGAGTATGCTGAGCGTATCGATAATGCGGATGAATTATTAGATAGTTTTCTGGAAGGGTTTCAAGATGAGAATGCACAAGTGCAACTTCAGTTACTTACTGCTGTCGTAAAGTTGTTTTTAAAACGTCCAACAGATACGCAGGAGTTGGTACAACACGTTTTGTCACTAGCTACGCAAGATTCTGATAATCCTGATTTACGTGACCGTGGTTTTATTTATTGGCGTTTGCTTTCTACAGATCCAGCTGCAGCTAAAGAAGTAGTGTTGGCCGATAAACCTTTAATTTCAGAAGAAACTGATCTCTTGGAACCTACTCTTTTAGATGAATTAATATGTCACATAAGTTCTCTTGCAAGTGTATACCATAAACCACCAACTGCATTTGTAGAAGGACGAGGAGCTGGAGTTCGTAAATCCTTGCCTAACAAAAGTACTGTAGTTACAAGTGGAAATGAAGCTTGCGGTGAAGCGATGGTAATACCAAATCAAGATTCCTTAATAGGCGATTTATTATCAATGGATATTAATGCACCCACAATTCCTGTCTCATTGCCAAGTGCAAGCAACGTGGACTTGCTGGGTGGTGGTTTAGATGTGTTGGTAAATATTTTGGTTATGAACCTTAAAAGTTTACAATTTATTTTTTCGTATTTTTAGCTTGGTGGTGGACCAACTGAAGCCGTTGCTGGTAGTAGTAGTTTACTGGGAGATATTTTTGGCCTTTCCGGTACACCTCTGAGTGCAGGTGTCCAAATACCTAAAATTGTTTGGTTACCAGCAGAAAAAGGAAAGGGACTTGAAATTCAAGGCACATTTTCGCGAAGAAATGGAGAAATTTCAATGGATATGACACTTACAAATAAAGCAATGCAATCAATGACTGGTTTTGCAATACAGCTAAATAAAAATAGTTTTGGTTTGTTGCCATCATCTCCACTTCAGGTAGCACCACTACCACCAAATCAAAATTGCGATATAAGCTTACCTCTGGGTGTTCAAGGTCCAGTACAGCGTATGGAACCATTAAATAATTTACAAGTTGCTGTTAAAAATAACATTGATATATTCTATTTTGCTTGCCTGGTACATGGCAACGTGTTATTTGCGGAAGATGGACAGTTAGATAAACGTGTATTTCTTAATACATGGAAGGAAATACCTGCAGCAAATGAACTTCAGTATAGTTTAAGTGGAGTTATTGGCACCACTGATGGCATTGCTTCTAAAATGACTACAAATAACGTTTTTACAATTGCTAAACGCAATGTAGAGGGCCAAGACATGCTTTACCAATCACTCAAACTTACAAACAATATATGGGTCCTACTTGAATTAAAACTTCAGCCTGGCAATCCGGATGCAACACTCAGCTTAAAATCTCGATCTGTTGAAGTCGCTCCTATGATATTCGCCGCATATGAAGCCATTATACGTTCACCATAAATAAAATTTATCAAATTTTCAAATGACTTCATCCAATAAAGGTACTCTTCAAATGAAATCTAATACATTGAAAAAAGTTATTTAGAAAAATAAAACTTTAACATTGAATTTTATTAGAAATACACATTAAATTAGTTGCATTCCCAAATTCGTAATTTTAATCACATTCCTAATAATTTATAATCTGATGTTAACTTAATCATATATAAAGCAGTTATTTATTGTACGTCAGAAAAAACAATAAAGTTTGTATTTATTATTATTGATATACAATATCGAACAATTATTTCAAGCGATTTAAATTATAATTAAAATAATAGGGTTATTCAGGAGTTCGGGTAACGCGCTCGGTAACCGAGTAAAAATGCAAGTAGTTACACTAACTCGTGAGCGCACTTGTTTGTGTCGATTTGTTAACGACAGCTGTTTTTTTGTGAATTTTTAAGTTATGCTGAAAACTTTTTTGGTTTGAGAATTTAAAATAAATATCAATTTATTTATGCCTGAAAAAAGCAAAATTGTTAGCTTTTAAGTAAAATATAGTCTAAACAAGATAAAATGGCTTAATTCTAAGCAGCATATACTATAATAATGTGCGGGGATGATTACAATTAATATTCTTCAGATGAAGGTAGTGACAACGAAGAAGTTGATGGTTTATTGAGCGATTCAAGAAGGAATGTGTTGTAGTTTATTCGAATTGCCGTGAATAAATAGTGAATGTGAATGTTATGTTATGTTAAGCCTTTTCCCAGTTACTGCATCTGGCCACTTTTACTCTATGATAGCTGCAGAGTCCCGCCCATCTCACTGATTATTCAATGATTCATCTAAGATCTGCGTACCGCCCCATGCGGTTAGTGATTATTCTGAGATTAGATAGTGCTAAGTAGGGCAGCCTGTCGATTTTCGCATATAGCTTCAGAGCTCTGTACCTTATGTATTTTTTGACCGGATTTATTCTAAGGTCTCTTAGCATGTCATTCTTGTGGATATACCATGGTACTTTGAAGAGCCTTCGGAGAGTCTGACTTTGAGCAACTTTTAGCTTTTGGATAGTAGAGTGTAGTATATCTGCATATTAATAATACTATCTACAAAAATAACTATTTGGTAATGGTAATATGATGATATACGTTACTGGCACATGCCAAAAGCAAAGACATTGATCACACACTTGCCATGTGAAGAAGCGCAAAAGAAAAGTCATTTGATTCTTTTGTTTTGCGCAAATGAAATTCGCAAAGTGCATTAACCTGCATTGGAATATCATTATTTAGTATTTCGGGTAATTATTAAATAATAATAATAATAATATCATATTTTTAAATTAATTAAAATGCATATTAAGCATTTTTATATGAAAATTACTAGGAGAACATAATATTCAGGTAGGTTAGTGGTTAAATTAGAATAAGTACAAATACTGTACAAATTCAATAAAGAAATTCAGATTCAACATACACCTTGAGTCTACGCGACACACCCATAAAATAGTACCGGTCTAATTATCTGACTGTAGATCAGCTTTCTGTTCTTCACATTAAGGTTGTTGTGTTTGAAAAGTGGTTGTAAGCAGAGCAGTGTTTTTGCGCAACTATTTCTTTTGACTTGTATGTGCTTGTGCCAAGTGAACCGTTTATCAAATGTGATTCCTAATTATTTAATGCTGTCCTCCCAATTAATCGCGGTGTCACCGACTCCCACTCCGGTGGATGTTGCCTGTGTTTACGAGTGATAAATAGGGCTTTAGCTTTCTCATTGTTAATTTTTTATTTTCCATTTCTGGAAGAACTCCTGCAGCGTGCTGGTCACATTTCTGGCAAGTTTATTGGAATATAACAAGCAAGTGTCATCTGCGTATAAGGATAGTACCGAGGGACTTAGCATTGGGATGTCAGACGTGAAGATGTTGTACAACATGGGGAGAGTGGAGATCCTTGAGGAACACCGGTTTCTATTCTTCACACTGACGAGATGATATTGTTGATCGTTACACAGAACAATCTCTCGCGCAGGAAGCTGCGGAGGATTTTGATTAGTCTGACTGGGACACCAAAACGAGACATTTTAACTATCAGGCCGTCGTGTCAGATCTTGTCAACTGCCTTTGCGATGTCAAATGTAATCACACCCGTTGATTTTCTTTTGCTTAGGGCTGACTGTATCATCTTAGGCGTTCGCACCAGTTGCACTTCTGGGGAGAGGTCTTTCCTTAAACCAAATTGCTCGTCAGGGAAAATATTCAGCGAGTTTTGAGTCTGTCTAGAATCACTCTTTCGGCCAACTTACCAAGAGCTAACAGTAAGCTTAAGGGCCGCCACTTCTGCGGAAACTTCGTGTCCTTACCGGGTTTAGTGAAGACTACAACTAGCCTAAACATACAGTTGATTATATTTGCGATGAGATGGATCGCATCTTCCGGTAGGTTACGTAAGCATCTATTGTTAATTTTATAATAGATCTTATCTTCAATCCTGAGATAATTATGCCGATTTCATCACTAGAGCAGGGCGCGATGTCTTCATCAGGCTCTTGGTCTAGGATATTGTAAGCCTCCTCGGTGATATGTTCTTTCTCTTCAGAGTCATCATCACAGTCTTTATTAGGCTGGAATTGAAGCTCCAAGGAGTCAGCAAAGGTCTCGGCCTTTTCTGAATCTGTGTATGCCATTCCGGTCGCCTCATGAATAGGCGGCAGTGCCCATTTGCGTTTCAGTCTGAAGTATTTGTTTATGGCCCAAAAGGATTTATTACCGGTTTCTAGCCCCAACAGGAATTCACCCCAGTTTTCATTTCTGCAGATGCCAATCTTTCTTCTGATTTCCTTTGAAAGGCGGCTAGCCTCTCTTTTACTTCCAGGATCTCCAGTATTCTGAGCAAATTTACGGACTCTGTTTCGGTGCCTCATCATGTGTTTAATATACTGAGGAATGTTAAAGTAGTTGCTGGGTTTTCTATTTTTGATAGTAGAGCTGTTATTCAAGGCCTTTTCAATTGGACAAGTAAGGTTACACTCCTCCAGATCCACTAAGGTTTAAGATTGGTTCAACACATTTAACTTCAATGAGTTCCTGACCGACTCCACTTCCATAGAGTGTTGGTTCATTAGGCACGTGTAGCTGCAGTAAGCGGTCAATGGCAAATTGAGCGATCACCCTGCCTGCACTATTTGTGCCCCTATCACCCCAATTTCTGTAATGCGCATTCAAGTCATCAGCCAGAAAAGTCATCGAATTGTTATTAAATTGCGTTTCAAGATCTCTTATGTAGAATTGAATATTAGGTGGTCTGTAGACTGAGGTAAAGTTTATGTTACCCACCAGACTATCCATCACCACTGTAGTTGTTTCAAGCGCTAGCAGGTTGTTAGATATAGTGTGATGTTTGATAGACTTCTTGATAATTACTGCCGTACCTCCACGTCTTCTGGACATTCTGTCTGATCTGTAGATGTCATAGTTGGGAATTTTCAATTGCAGAGATGGCTTCAGAAAAGTTTCTTGTATCAATATGATGTCTATATCCATATCATGTAGGAATTGGATGACTTCATATTTCTTGTTGATAATAGAATTTGCATTCCAAGTCACAACTTTATATCTGCTTAGTGGTGCACTCATTTTCCAGTGATAGCAGGTAGCAAGCTTTGTAGCGTTGTCAGCATTATGTTCTTCATCACTGTGTTGAGTTGTGGTTGGAAGTTCTCCATAAGTTTCTCATGATCGGAGGCGGCCAAAGGATTGGTGGAGAATTGTTGGGGTGAGCTTCCTGACATCACTGCGTCTGCATAAAACCTTAATGGCTTAACAGTAGATCTTGCAGATAGGAATCGGTGTAGGGATTTTCTTTTATATTCTGCGGGGCACAAGGACACCCTCTATAGTTAGCCGTGTGGCAATCACTACAATTCGAACATTTCGGAACAGCATCACGTGGTTTTGTACACTGTAGGTGGTGGTGCGAACCTTTGTACAACATCCCCAAACTGTTGACAGTTATGGCACTAGAAAGGACCTTTTAGCGGACGCTGCGCTTTGACTGTCACCTCCAGAAGAAATTATTTAACCAACGAGCTCCAGGTATTTGTCCGACGGAGCACTATAGGGACAACTTTATTTAATTTCTTGTCAGAGGTAGTACCGTTTTGTGCAGGTTGTTCTTGATTGTCATTGCTTGTGCTGGCAGCGACAGCGATGGGCTTCTCAGGGGAGATCAGCAACTCCATATCTTCATCACAGGAGCTTGCAGAACCGCGGGAGTAGCTATCTGGGGAGGGTGGTGACAGCTTTTTCCTCTTATTGTTGTAACATTGCATACTACCTGCATCAGGTTTTAAACAGCTCTGCAGCTGTTGCTCCACCTCAGAGCAATGTAACTTTAATTCTTGGAATTGCTGTTGCAGATGAGAATAATGAATTTGCATCATTGATTTTTTTAACTTGAATGAGTTCCTCTACTAACGTTTTAATTTCAGCCGGAGATACCAAATTTAATTGCGGCGTGGTTATGTCCGGGGGTTCTGGCTTGTCTGCATTGTTATCCATTTCTGCCATATCTTTAACTGGAGTTTTTTAAAACCAACCAGTTTTATGTTCGCTAGAATATGCCACACCTTCACACTGTTGCTGCTCAATCGTAATATCGCCGGTAGTTCAAATTTTATTTAAATAAAATTTATTCAGCAGAAGAAATTTAAAATATTCTGACAGATAATTCAAATCTGAATTTAAATAAAATTTTTTCCAGCACAAGAAAATTGAAACTTTCTGTACGGAAAATAATTAAATTGTGAACAGCTGTATATGGCTCAAAAACCTGTTAATCAAGTTAGAAGACGGCCGGTTTTTGCAAATGATGCGTGTAAACAGAAACCATTTTCTTATTTAGTTGCTTTCGGTTCTGAAGATCAAATATTTAAAAAAGTAAACACCAGCAAACATTTTCCGATTGCGCTACAGTTTGCTATAGTTCTGTATCGTTATTATTGTCGTAGTGCATCGTATGGCCAAGCTCATTAGAGCGAGAACAAATAATAAGTGACATATACAATAAATAA